TTTATACACAAAATATCAGTTATTTATCTCTTAATTTTCAATGGTTGAGATTTATACACACTTAGTAAAAATAATTATTATTTTTATCTAAAAAATTGTAATAAATTTTAACCATTGAAAATATATAAATAAATTATTAAAATTTTATATAAGTATAATGTGTAAAATTTATATGTAAACTAATCTTTTCTCAATTTAAAAATACTAACCTTTTTTCACTACAATTAATGAGGATTATATGAAAAGAAATAACCATACTTTCTCCCCAAATCTATTTCTATCCAAATAGAAGATATATAAGTCTTAGACTCTTTTATTAACTGTGCCTCTTGAGGTGAAAATACTAACCTTTTCAAGGCTTTGGTTAAAATCCACTTTTATAAAACACCATTAATTGCTTTTAAGCTCCACCAAGTTTGTGCTTATAAGCATTTTTTTTTTCTAAAAATTTTGAAGAGATTATATTTAAGAATTTGAAATACTTATAACAACTTTTTCTTTTTAGAAAAAAGTTAAAGGAACCCTAGAATCATTGGTGGTAATGTTTAGTGGATGGTGACGGCTATTCCTTAATTAAATTATAAAACCAAGTTATATTTAAGAAATTTTATAAGTACAATAGGCTCTAACTTTTTTTTAAGATTTTTAAAGTGCGTGGAGGATGCTAACCACCACGTCCATTCTTGGACATAGCATCCATTGCTCACGTGGTTCACGTTGCAATGCAGTACCGAACTACTGATACAGATATGGAGCAAACCTAGTCAATTATCCTTGATTATATAACATACCCTAGATATTAAGGGTTTATTTGGTCAGAAGTCAATAAGTTTTTACTAAGAAAATAATTTAAAAAGTATTGAGAAATGATTTTGACACAATCTTTTTGTATCATTTTTTGAGGTAACCATTTTATACTACTTTTTGAAACAATTTTTTTTATCACCTTTTAGGACAATATGACGTGTCATTTAAATGATTAGTTCTTGTAATTTATCTAAAACCTGTGATAGTGAACATATTCACTCATTTAATGACATGTGAAAATTATATTAAATGGTGATATAAAAATGTTGTCCCTATAACACCGTCCAAAAAAATTCTATAGAAGATTAAAAAATAAAAAAAGTGCATATTAATGTTGATTTTTTAAAAAATAATTAATGTCTTAATTTTAAATTATGTTATTTCATTTAATTAAAATCTAATTTAAAATTTAGAAATCTACCTAATTAAATATTGATACTTGAATTTAGAAACTAATTTTATTCTCTAATATAGTCAATTTCCAAATTAATGTATTAACATTTAATATGGTGTATTTCTAAATTTTGAATTGGGTTTTTAATTTATAAAAGTAGGAATCAATATTTAATGAGGTTTATTTTTGAATTTTGAATTAGGTTTTAATTAAATAAAATAACATTTTTTAAAGTTAAGATTTTATTTTTTCTAGGAGTTGAAATTGATACGTATTATTATCTGAAAAATATTATATTGAAAGTTAATAAATTTGTAAAGAATTTTTTTTAGAATTTTATTGAATTATTAATTTTTTACATTTAATAAAAAAATGACATATAAAAAGTTAATAGGATAGTTTTAAGCAGGTTGAAAGTTAATAAATTTGTAAAGAATTTTTTTAGAATTTTATTGAATTATTAATTTTTTACATTTAATAAAAAAATGACATATAAAAAGTTAATAGGATAGTTTTAAGCAGGTTTCACATTAAAAAATTGAGAAAAAAATTTGTTTTCAAAAAGTATAAAAAGAAAATTTTATTAATTAAAATTGTGTTAGAAAAATAAAAATTAAAAATATTACTTTTATCATAATTTTATTGTAATATTAAGCAATAAAATTATATAAATATCTTCATTAATATATATATATATTTATATATATACTTTCCTTCCACCAAAGACCAAACAAGGCTCGGTAAAAACCACCACCATGGAACTGTGGCTTTTAGCCACTAGCTTTACAGGTGGGGAGCAGCTAAATTGTTTATTCATGATATTCATTTATATATACAATACTATATAACAAAGTCCATGAATCACGTTACTTTGGTAATGTTTTAAAATTTCGATAATTATCCAAGCAAATTGACTTTTTATACTTGATGAGATGCATGAGTCAATAAATAATTATTTATTTTATTTAAAAGAAAATATTAATTTATTAGATATCACTATGCATTATTAATATTAATATATATGAAAAATATTATTTTTTAAATTAATATTTCAAAAACTAATTATTGGTTTAAAATTTTTTATTTACATAAATCATATAAGTCAATTTTTAAATTAATTTAATAAATCTAATCAGCTTGTTAATTATAAAAAGTTTAATATTGTTAAATATATATTAATAAATA